ATCTGGTTTTCTTCTAGATTCATGCCAAACTTGTTGAAATCACGCGTAACGGATTAATAACTTCGTTCTTGAATTCGTTATAGGCCGTTCGTCCAGAATTGTGCAGTTCGATGAAAAGATCGACCAGAAATGCATACCGTGACGGTGTCCATTCCGCTCCTTCCTGCGTTGCAGTTGCGGACATCTGCGTTGCAGAAAGAACGTTAACATGCAAAAAAGGAAGATATTTTCTTCGCACATTTTCTACGGAAACAAACAGATAAATAATGGTTGGTATCTTTTATAATCCTTATATGTCTATAGTTTATACAGTGAGACAGAATGTGAACCCTAATCTCGTTGCACAATAAAATTCGGGCCTCTATATGTCCAACCGGCAAAATTTTGGGGCCTTGTTTTAGAGAAAAAAGAATACGAGTACCTCCATTTTTTCAAAAGGCATTAAACGAAAAAGGAGAGTCTCAAAATATTCTTTAATTTAACTCGTTTGAAAGGTTGAACTCTAACCTTAACATATAAAAACTTTATATTGTATTTAAAGACCCAAATATAAATATTAATGTTATAGATGGTTTAATTTAAAATTTTAATATATTAATTTTTTTCCGGTTACTCGTGTGATTTTGAGTGGGTATCAAACAGTTTATTTCAATTGGTTAAAAACTCGAATCGAAAATTTAATGGAATCAAACTCTAATAATTTGTGAGATCCTGTTGCTATGGAGTAAGCATGGATCAATTGAAATGGCAATAAACACCAAAAACAAGATATTGAAATCCCCCAAAAATGCAGCTTTCATTTGTATTGTAAACCAGAAAAGCAGAATAAAAGGACAAATATTGTGTGAGTATAAGATTCTTTTACTCCCACATTTTGCTTCCAAAATGGAAGCCAATAAAGCAAACACATCATCATATTGTTTCTTCCTCAAAATCGCTTTCAAAACGTATTATTTTCTACAGGGTGTCCGAGTCAAAAACATATGGAATTGGCTCACTAATCCCATCTGTTTTGCTTTGCAATGTCACCAACTCAATGCGGGTTTGACTTACTTGCGAGCCTTCATCATCTATGAACAAAAACCATAATTAATGTTTGTCAAAAATGTGGCTCAAATCATGAAAAAAAAAGTTAAAACTTTGAGGGTATAACGATTGATCACAGTCGGCTTGACTTATGATCCTATAGTAATAAAGTGTTGGCATTCAATTCCAATATCCTTTGGCGTGCTCAGGTTGAACTTCGTGCTGCATCATCAATGGGGCTTAGCTTTTTTCGTTTGTATTTGTGTTCATCATCAGGATGACATGAAATCAACACTATTCTCACTTTTCTTGTCTTATGCACCAAACCCTAATCACCCGAAAACGTTTGGGCTGTCAGGAGGAAGCAAGATGGTCAAAGGAGAGGGCTGCAGACACAATGTTTTGAGGTCCCAGTGTCATTGAACAAAACATATGTAGGGTTGTTCCCTGCAAAGAAATGCTTTATCTAATCATATACATCAACATTCAACACAATTTTGATGGGTTTTGGTTTTTGTTTTAAAATTCTATAGAAAAAAAAAGAACCTCATTATGCTTAACCATCATGGCTTGTGAGAAATCTCTGTGGGTTATGTATTCAAATTCAGAAACAAGAAAAAGGAAACACAAACTCATGAAGTGCCTAATCTCTATGCATATGTTTTAGCCTCTCTCGATTGTATATGAAAAATTTATTTACAGATTTCTGGATGACATTTTCATGAAGTGCCTTAACATTATGAATGACAATATTGTAGATATATACATTATCGGTCTCCAACTTAACTATAATGCAGCCTAATCTCTATGTCTATGGAGAAATGGAGAAATTATTTGATGGATTTGACTCACTACGTCATCTATGATTTTAACCAATAAAAATCATCCATTTTAAAGTAACTTCCAAATAATTACCCACACCTTATTAATATGTAGGAAATAGATGAAGATTCACATAAAAAAAAATGAGATGCATGAATTTTATTGGTTGAGACCATGTGACGTGGTGGGTCGAGTCTATTTAATAATTTATTGTTTGTGTGGCTTTACCCATATCTAGGGTTGAGCAACTTAATTGAGAAAATCGAAAAAATCAAATTGAACCGGACTATACAGTTCAATTTGGGTTTTTTAATTTGTAGTTTGATTTTAAAAATATATATACAATTCTATTCAGTTTCGGTTTTTCCATATAAAATCATTTGAACCGAATTTTAAAAAATAAGTTTCCAAAATAAATTCATTTTGAATTTATTATAAGATAAATTTAAATAAATAAAATCTTAAAACTAACAATATTTTTTTATAAATTTAAATTTATATATTTGCACTCGATTTAAGCTTTAAATTTAATTTTTAGAGATTGAGTTTGAAAAATAGTAAACAGTCAAAAATCATAAAACCGAACCAAATCAAACCGAAAACTATAGTTTTTATGTCATTCGATTTTGATTCCGGTTTCAATTTTTAAAAATCCACAAAGTACAATTTAATTTATATTTTAGTGAAAATCGAACCGAAGTTAACCCAACATACCGAAGATGAATAAAAAATGTTGCAAGTGCATCTGGAAGGTATTAATCACAATTAAAAAAAAAGTCTCCTATTTCCAAGGGCACATGAAACATGATCTATCAAGTTTTCCGAATGGATTTTTCTACTACACTCCATTTATATGTCCTTAGTGCACCCTGCACCTAATCCGTAAACCCAGGTTAAATTGTGGTTTTTGTGCCTTCGTTATACTTAAATTTGGATTTAGTCCCTATAGTTTAATTTTTTATGATACACTCCCTCTAATCTTTTAAAGCTATTTTTAATGGTGTTAATTATTTTGGTTAAATAAATACGCCCTTTCAAAATCATCATGTTGACATATATAATGGGTAGAAAGACCTCTTAGCTCCCTCTCTTTTCTAAAATTGGACAAATTGGTACATCTAAAAAAGAGCAATTTAGTCTCTATCAATTTCAAAAGTGAGCAATTAAGGACAATTAATTGCAAATTTTATCTTGATTCTAAAAAAACACATAATTTACATATTTTGAAAATACTGGGGAACTAAATAAGTTAGATTTTTAGAATTATGATCAAATTGACATTATGTATAAACATGGAAGGCTAAACTTATTTTATATCAATAAAATATAAAGTTGATGGAGAACATTAACACCGCAATTATTTGTCCTAATTACTCACATTTAAAATTATCAAATCCTAAATTGCTCCTATTTTTCTGAAAGGGACTAAAATTATCTAATTTTAAAATTGATAAAGATATAAAAAGTCTTTTTGTCCATACAAAATATATTGGAAATAGTGTTTTCAAGAAAGATGTAGGTCTATGCCAATAACTTGGTAAACAATGTAAACTATTTTTTTACATTAACTAATAATATAATAAAAAATAACTTAAAAATAGAGAGACATTAAACTATGATTAATTAAATAAAAAAATCTAGATCTTAAATTTAAATAGAGTAAAATCATAAAAAAATCTTAATTTTGGACCATGTTGATTTAAGTTAGAATCCATTTGTGGAATGTTAGATGAGTAAAAAATAGAGCGTTGTTGTTAATAATAGGAAATAAGAAGATATTTATCGAAAAACGAGTTAATCTGACTCGTCTGTTTTTATTCATCTAACAGTCATAAATTCATATAATTTTTGAAAATTCGGATATAATATCCCAGGAAATTAAGCAGAATAATAAGAAGCTGTACATGTGAATGGGGATTAGGGGTTTAGGTGGGGTGGGCTGAGGAAAGGGAGGCAATGGCCATGTGATAAAAGCACCTTTCATCTTCATGTAAAGCCACCACGCCCCCATTGGGTGCAATCATTCCCCTCTACTTTCTTATTTTAACCCCATAATAGCCTTACCCTCCACAAATGCTTCACATTTTACCATAATCTTCCGGTATGCACAAATGCTTTTAGCCGTCATAAGAGATGTCATTAGTTGAGTTTATTTGCAATTTCATTTGAGTAATTTTTAAGATTAATATTTTTAATGGTACGAGATTATTATTGTTTAAAATCTTTCTTGATCGTTAATTAATGTATACCCAATACAATATAATGTTATATAAAATATAATGTACACAATATTATTAATAAGCAAAGCTCTAGTTTTAAAGCTCTAAAAAGTGCAAACCTCACTCTCTAAGATATTTTCAGACAGCTTTCTTCCTTTTTTTTCCCTCAGTCCCCACTGCATACCTTGAACTGTATATATACCTCTACTATTTCTTCATCGCCTTCACTTCACTTATCCTTTTCTTACATTGAAACAATACTACCCAGTTTGTCATTTGAGGAAAAAGAACTGCAGGGAAAGTAAAAACAGAAGTGAGGAGTGTGAGGAAAGGAGAGAAGAGATAATGGCAGATGCCAGCGAAAAGGTAGTGGAGACTGTGATTGTTGGGAATTATGTGGAGATGGAAACCGAAGGGGAGCCTAATGGCATCAAAAGCAAGGTTTCTAAGCTCTTTTGGCATGGTGGTTCTGTTTATGATGCTTGGTTTAGCTGTGCTTCTAATCAGGTTCTGCTGCCATCTCTTTTCCCTTTGTTGCATTTACTTACGACTTGTATTTTATATTGATAATATGTTTTATCTCACCAAAATTTTATAATATCGTCCAGTAAAATATTATAAATCCTTTTAGTATAAAATCCTACATGATGATACTGATGGAGAATTTTTGGTATCAGGTAGCTCAAGTGTTGCTTACATTGCCATACTCATTTTCTCAACTGGGGATGCTTTCTGGGATTCTCTTTCAGCTGTTCTATGGATTGATGGGTAGCTGGACAGCTTATCTCATTAGCATACTCTATGTGGAGTACAGAACCAGAAAAGAAAGAGAAAAAGTTGATTTCAGGAACCATGTCATTCAGGTTTGCTTTTTAACTTCTTTACAAAAAAAATTACATCTTTAAGTATATGATGAAATGACACTAAGAATCAATATTCTTTTAAAACTGTGCAGTGGTTTGAAGTTCTTGATGGTCTCCTTGGAAAACACTGGAGGAACGTGGGTTTGGCATTTAACTGCACTTTTCTTCTGTTTGGATCTGTCATTCAACTCATAGCTTGTGCAAGGTACCTACTTGGCTACTCATTTCTGATTCTTTTGCTTTTATCTCTATCCAAATATAAAGTTATATATATATATACAGAGAGAGAGGGAATCATCATGCATGCACCCTGACAATGAATTCCCTGAAGTTGGGTATCTTTTGTTTTGCTATCACAGCAACATATATTACATAAATGACAACCTGGACAAGAGGACATGGACTTACATCTTTGGTGCCTGTTGTGCCACCACAGTCTTTATCCCCTCGTTTCACAATTACAGAATCTGGTCCTTTCTTGGCCTTATAATGACCACCTACACAGCTTGGTATCTCACCATTGCCTCCCTCCTCCATGGCCAGGTAATATAGAAAACCAAACTTTGACATTATTTTTGTTACTCAACTTGTTGAACATGTTGTGTTCAAATGTTTAGTCAAAAAGGAATCCTGGTTGTCTTGTCCCATTGCTTGAAAAGAAAGAAAACTGCAACTTGATAAGTTATTTTAACTAAACCTATTATTAATAATTGTAGGTTGAGGGAGTTCAACATTCTGGTCCTACCAGGCTGGTGCTGTATTTCACAGGTGCCACCAACATTCTCTATACGTTTGGGGGACATGCTGTCACTGTGTAAGGAAAAAAATTATGTTTAGAATACTTGTCTTGTACGTTATATTCAAATCTGCCCATGTTTATCAACTCAATAAATTGTGCTATTAAAACCCCTTTGAGAATTATAAATGCATGTAAAAACAATTCTGAAAACGACCAGATCTTAAATTGTTTAGACATGATCTAACCATTGGAGAAACTCATGGGTAATGACCAATCCTTATTATTAATAGAATATAGTGATTTCCTAAATTGCCTTTTGTAAGCGTGGCAGGCAAAAAGTTGTTTTCTTCTTGGGAACCCTAGTATTCCTTTTCAATGTAGAAAGCCAATGATCTTTTTCTGTTTTTACTTTCACTTTTATCATTGTGAATAAGGGGATGAGGTCCAGCTTTGTTCAGTGAATCAAAAGGCACCCCACATGCAGAAGAAAAAAGGGCCCTTGAAGTTCATGGAGCTGAACTTTTTAAGACCCTAAACCCAAACTCAATCAGCCTGGAGCAGGGCTTTTTTAGGTCCCTGATGTACCTAGACATTAGATGCTATAGCAGTAGCATGAATTAATTTTCTAATTAATGAAGGATTTGGTGATTAATATGCACAGGGAGATCATGCATGCTATGTGGAAACCTCAAAAGTTCAAGGCTATATACCTGATAGCAACTGTGTTTGTGCTGACACTGACACTTCCCTCAGCTGCTGCTGTTTATTGGGCATTTGGAGACATGCTTCTCAATCACTCAAATGCCTTTTCTCTTCTCCCAAGAACTCACTTCAGAGACATGGCTGTCATTTTAATGCTCATCCACCAGGCATGCCTATGAAATTCCATTTATCAGATCCCTCCATGCATGCATAACAAAATAGTACACATAACAATGTTCATTCTTTCAGTACACATCCACATCACTCATATATCATCATCATCATCATCATATTGCACTAAAAAGTAATGTTTCATTCTTATGGAGTTGTATTGTGCAGTTCATTACATTTGGATTTGCATGCACGCCGCTGTATTTTGTATGGGAGAAAGCAATAGGGATGCATGAGCGCAAGAGCCTGTGCAAGAGAGCAGCGGCAAGATTGCCAGTGGTTGTCCCCATTTGGTTCTTGGCTATTATCTTCCCTTTCTTTGGACCAATAAACTCCACCGTCGGATCCCTCCTCGTTAGCTTCACCGTCTACATAATTCCGGCACTGGCTCACATTTTCACCTTCCGGTCAGCCACTGCCAGAGAGGTATTAAGCCCTAAACCTCAATCCTCAGCCAATCTGAGTAAGAACAGGCAACTGTGACATTTTTTACTTTAATGTCAGAGTCAAACATTTGACTGAGAGAATTGAAAAATAAATGTTATTAGTTGTTTTGGTTTGATTTAGCATTAGATAAATCCAAACAGCAGAGAATAAGAAAACAGTGGTAGCGTGTGGTCACAGTCTAGCAGACCAGTCCCGGTTCTTTCTCCTAATCAGATAATGTTTTGGATTTAAACACTGCAAATTTTAGGACAACATGCAATAGTTTTGCAAAAAGGCACGAGATTCGTGCTGCAATATGTTTATGTTCGTACTGATTCCCCATATCTGAGGGTACTACATAAAACCTGTCTTTTTTCTTAAGAACACAGAAGAAATGTTCAAGTATGACCATTGACATGTGATGTTTTGATGAACGGCTGTGATGCAGAATGCAGTGGAGCAACCTTCCAAGTACTTTGGAAGATGGGTAGGGGCATACACTATAAACATGTTCGTTGTGGTGTGGGTCTTGATTGTCGGGTTCGGATTCGGCGGATGGGCGAGCATGACGAATTTCATACACCAGATCGACACATTTGGGCTGTTTACAAAGTGTTACCAATGTCCACCACCGGCATCAGCAGCCTCGCGACCGTCACCCCTCCATGGCCTTAACGCAACTGCGGCTGCTCCTATGCACCACCCTTTCAACCACACTCATATGCCCTGAATCACTTTTGCACACACTGGTCATTTTTATTTAGCTTAGGGAGTTTGTAATGCATTTTCCTGAAAAAGAAACAAATAAACAGAGTTTGTATCAAAAAAAAAAAAAAATTGAGGATTCTGTCTGCTTTGTAGGTTGTTATGCTTCAATCTGTGTTCTCTTGCACCTTGCCTTTTACAATAATGTGATTATTTCCTTTAAGTAATCATCTCCTAACAAAAAATTACATGTAATTTGGCATACATATGCCCAAGTGTTCCTTTAAATCCTTTTTTCCTAACAACTTTATGTTGCTAATTAGATTGTTGACCCACACGTGGATTAATCTTTTAGGACATGAACATATCTTACAATAAAAAATATAAATTATAATCTATTTTTGTTGAGATAAAAATTAAGTTGGAAATTGTTGCATTCTAAAAGCTTGACATGCATAAACAAGATAATTACAATCACAATTACCTATGTACAAAAACTATAAATTTTTAAAAATTGAACTAAATCAAGAAGTTATGAACCGAACTAAAACTATGGAACAAGCTCCTGAAGAAAGAATGGTTAATGAAAGCGACAATCAGTCGAAAAGAAATTACGGGTCTAATCGTTCAATTATTTTTTACCACATAAATCAAGTAACATATGTGATAAAAGAATTATTATTAATATTTGAAGTCTCAAGTCTGAGCTTCATAAAATCATGATGTGAACGTTCAACATTAAATAGTTGAAAGTTATTTTTAATATCTACGTTCAATATCAAATGACCTTAATTGAACGCATAAATATAAAAAGTTAAAAAACCATTATTATTTTAGTCTCGCTATTAGTGATTTACTATAGATTATTTGATTTACACCAAAAATAAACCTTCAACGGCCTAAATGAAAAAAAAACAAAGTTGTTTTTTGATTCGTGACTAGAATAAAATGTGGGAATCTTAATGATTTTGCAGCCCTGAAAAGGCTAATATGTTGCAGTGGTCAAAACTATCTTTAATAAGAGGGAAAAGAAGAGATATTCTCAATGATTTTAAAATCGGATCGAACTTTAAATCGATAAAGGTATTGATTCATTGATTCACTGGTTTAACTAGGTATAAAAATTTATATAATATTCAAAGCAATATTAATATATATAATACTCTTTTTAAGTTTACAATATTAAAAGGTATAAAAATATCACAAGTCATAATATATATAAGTTAAATACCATAAAATCAAGTGAAACAAAATGATTTAAATCAACTACAACATAATATTTAAGAATACTTAATGAAATTCATCAACATTTAAATAAAAAAAATACATAATTGATACAAGTATTAATCATCATAATATTTATTGAAATTGATTCCCTCAAATTCTAAAATATTGAGAAAAACTTCTTCATTAGTTGAAGTGTTGAGCTACCACCGCCATCACCACTTTAAACTTAAAACTCCATAATATCACTTTAAACTTGAAAATCTACAGCATCAAGATCTTCATCACCTAACAATATGATAAATAAATACAAAGTTAAATTTAAATTCACAAACAATACTTAACAATTAAAAGTAAAAGTGTAAAACATATTAAATAATAAATATAATTATATAACTAAAATCATAAAATAAATTTGAGGCTGAAAAAATCATAACAAATTACGTTGTTTGATTTAATTTTTTTTTAAAACAGAACCGACGGTTCACACCGATTTTGTCGATTCCCAACCGATTCTACCGATTCTTTAGCAATTCATTGCAAAAATAGTTTTAAAAACTGACCAGACCGGCCAAGCAACCGGTTCCCAATTCAACTGGTCGAACCGGTCGGTCCAGTCCAATTTTGATAACATTGGATATTCCTATTGCAAGAGCATGCCACCTATGGCAAAATTAAAGGGTTTCAAGGCTTTCTCGATTAATTATTAAAATTGGACCGGTCGGTTCGACCGGTTGAACCGGGAACCAATTGTTTATTCGGTCCGGTCAGCCTCCAAAATCAATTTGACAATGAACCGGTTGGAAACCAACAAAACCGGTGTGAACCGACGGTTCAACCGGTTCTTTTTTTTAAAATTAAATCAAAAAAAATTTTATTATGATTTTTTCAACCCTAAATTTATTTTCAACCCTAAAAAATCAAAAAACAATTAAGGTTAATCTTTACTTGTTTATTTTAGTTATATAACTATATTTATTATTTAATATATTTTACACTTTTACTTTTAATTGTTAAATATTGTTTGAGAATTTAAATTTAACTTTGTATTTATTTATCATATTATTAGGTGATGAATATCTTAATGCTGTGTAGTTCAACTAATGAAAAAGTTTTTCCAAATATTTTGAAATTTGAAGAAATCAATTTCAATGAATATTATGATGATTGATACTTGTATAAATTATGTACTTTTTTTATTTATATGTTGATGAATTTTATTAAGTATTAACCTTAAATATTATATTGTAGTTAATTTAAATTATTTTTTTTCACTTGATATTATAGTATTTAACTTATATATGTTATGATCTGTAATATTTTTATATCTTTTAATATTGTGAAATTAAAAAAAATATTATATATATATATATATTACTTTGAATATTACGTAAAATTCTTATAAAATATTATTTTATATAAACCGGTTCAACCGTAATTTAATCTGATTGAACCAATATCTTCACCGGTTTAAAGTCCAATTTTAAAAACATTAAAAAGCATTTCCTCTTTATGCTGTAGACAACAAGACATATAATATCGGGTTGGGGGACAATGCCTTGTTTTTCAGATTTAAAGGCTCGAACCCAGGTTTTCCTTTGGAATGATTGCCCTCAACCAACTAACAATGCTCTTCCTCCAGCATGCTTCAATTACAAACTTAAAATTCCTCAAAACAGTTAAAACTTTGGAACTCGGAACTTTTGGTCTTTGGCTACAAAGGAAAATTGTGTCAAGTAACATATCAAATTGATTCAGAGTTTCAAATTGATGGTAGGTAATGTAATAAGTTGGTTGTATCGGCTTAGTCGATTCACTACTGGCTTGGGCAGAGAACCGTAGCCAATGGAAGAAGTTTAGATTTGGGCAGAGAACCGACTTAGGTCCATATGACCATTGAGATCAATATAACAAATAGAACCTCAATTCTTAGTCATATATGCCGGGAATGAAGTTGCCTCCTATAGGAAAATCTTCATTTCCTAAAAGCTGTAGCTTTGTAGGGAAAAACCCTAAACCCAGGAATTTGGAAAATGAGAAACCATTAGGGGGAATTATCCATTTTGTATTACACACAAGGCATCCAGCACGACCAAGAGCCTATGACTAAAAGAGAAACCCTTTCTTGTGTCCACTAGAGCCAAAGCCATGCAGCAGGGTTTCCTTTCAAAGTTCCCTCTACAAAGTCTAATCGTTCAAGCTCTTCTAAAACCGACATGTCCCAACTAGACTGGTCGACTAAAACCGACTAAAAACCATAATAGTAGGCAGGACTCAACCATTTACTGAACCCTTCTAAACATGGTAAAGGGTTTAAAAGCAAAGGACGACTGGCAATTAAAAATGGAGGGTAACCATTTTCACCATTTAGTATAAAGATACAAACAAGAAACACAGTGCCCTCACATTCAACAAAAGAAACCCAAAGAAAAGGGAAGCTTTCTGCAAATGTCAATCTCAAAAACATTGGATCAATATACACACATAAATTTAAAATTCGAAGCGCCTAAAATGAAAGCAAATAAACAAGATAAAACGCCTGCTTCCAATGTAATATTTTAACAGAGAAAGTATTAGAGTTGGGAGATATATCTGATCTTATCATATACTTGAAAATGATACTCATGGAAGGTAAGAGCTGAGCCAAACCATCAGTTTGTATTTATATAATATATCTATACAAACACAGATAACAGCGAGAGAGGGATTTAAACATAATCTCCTTTTCATCATTGTGCACATCAAGACTAAAATCCACTCCACTGTAAGACCAAGGAAAGTGCCCATTAAATAAAAAACCCAAGAAACAAAAACAAGTAAACTGACTAGGACTAGGAGCAATCCATCTTCAAAAACCCAGAAAAAAAGAAACAAAAAGTATCATAACATAGGATAGCAATAACCAAAACAAAAGGAGCGAAAGAGAAAAGGTGGTTTAGATGGAGATGTGAAAGATACATTTAACCGCATTCGAAACTAGCGACCGCTATTGGGACACTCCCTAGCGAAATGCCCAGATCCTCCACATTTGTAACAAGCTATACCTCCTCCACCGCCGCCGCCATATCCGCCACCGCCACCACCATATCTGTCTCCGCCGCCACCCTGTCCACAATCACGCGCCAAATGGCCCATCTCACCGCACTTATAACAAGCACCGCCGCCTCCGCCTCCACCACCGCCACTATATCCACCTCTTCTACCACCTCCACCATAGCCTCCAGATCCACCACTACCACCATATCCACCACCACCATAGCCACCGCTACCGTATCCACCGCCACCGTAACCGCCGCCGCCACCACCGCCGCCCCGTCCGGATCTCGTGGCGCCTTGGACGGGGTTGCCGTTGGGGCCAGTGACTTCAAGGGCCTTGGTGCGTCCTTCAGAAGAATCGATAACGAACTCGACCTCTTCGCCGTCGGCGAGGCTACGGAAACCCTCGGATTGGATGGCGGACTGATGAACAAACAAATCGTCGCCGCCGTTGTCGGGGGTTATAAAGCCATACCCCTTCTGATCATCGAACCACTTCACCTTCCCAGTCTGCCTACTCTCACCCATCCTCTTCTAAGCAAAATCCCCAGAAAACAAAACCTCAGAGAAATAGGAGAAAAAGATGTGAATATGAAGCGCAAGCGGAGTTGAGTGGGACTTTATAGTGCAGATCAGAGCCGTGCAAAACGTGTGAGTGCCACGTCAGATTAGGGCAAGATATAATAATTAGGGTAAAGTATAGTAATGTCACTTAACTTTTCTAAATCTTTCATTTAGGTCTCCCAACTTTTAAAACTTGCAATGCAATCCTCTAACATTTAGTCCGTTTACAATATGGTTCTCGACGTAACCGCCAGTTTGATGTCGTTACACTGCCGTTATAACGTTTACAATATGGTCACTGAACTTTTCAGACGCTTGCATTTAGGTCCCCCAACTTTTAAAACTTGCAACACATTCCTCAATTTCATTATAAACCCTAAATTCCTTTTCGATCTCGAATTTCTTTTTTCTCTTATCTCTTCTCATTTTCAGCGTAACTTTTAAGTCGGGGATGCATGAAAATTTCCAATCTAACTTTGAATTATGTGGAGGTGATGACTTGAATAAGGGTTCATTGAGAGAGACCCGACTAAAGGAGTATCAGGACCATCAACAATTCAAGGTGTAATGTTAGATACATGTCATCTCAGGTGAAGCATAGATTTTCGATAAAATTCTTGTGAGAAAAAAATGGGGTTAGAAATGCAGAGTTGACAAATACTACCAAGATGAACTAAGTATCATTGTTGAAAGTCACTAACAAAGTTTGAATTATTTTGTATAAATGTCATATAATAATTTATTCGTTTAATCCTTGTGGTTAAAGATTTTCCAACAGACACCTCTCAGTCTCTTTCGCAACTCGAAAGGTATCATGACAGGGTCAAGTAGGTACTCCAAATATACTACCCTGTAATGATTCCTTTCGAGTTGCGTGCATACATAATTGTCTTCTAAAGCTATAATTCAATACAATTCAACTGTAAAATTTCCAAAACATGTAAAAAATCTAATTCGTTCACGATATATCAGTCTCATAATCAACATGAACTTGTTAAAAAGAATACGAGCTCACAGGACGCCGAAAATCACATGTCGGATCAATACAATTCCTAGTAAACTAGTACCAGCAGTCTTTCGAATTGAGTCTGGCAATTTCACTATGTCGATACTTACAACAAATTCCCTAATTTAAAGAAAAATCAAACAAGAATAAAAAAAATAGCCTATGACCCTCTCTCACTTCTATTATGGTGGACTGAATATCTTTCATAAGGAATACTAAAAGTTTTGATTAAGAATAAAAAAAGAAAATTAGATGGTTTTGGTTCAAAACTAACATTGAATATTCATATCATTGACATGCAGTTCCAGAAACATAAAAATTTCAACAAAAAACACATAATGCGAGCTAAAAATAAGAAAGTGCGAAAGAGGAAAATCTTACTTCCGGATAGCCCAAAAGAGAAAATAAATACCTTATTGCAAGTGAAGAGAGGCTAAAAAATAAACGCAATCGGTGTTGCGTTTCAACAATTCTTCCTCCATTTTTTATTTGTAAAAAAAAGCTGAAAGACAAAGTAATGTTTGGGTTTACAATTTTACATGGCAGAAAATTGAAGAACAAAAACCAAACAAGAGTGCATGTGAGCGAAAGAAGGTGAGAGGTGAATGCGCTGTTTGAGATTTCATTATATTTGATCATTTGTTAGAAAAATCTTTAACTATAAGGATTAAACGAATAAATTATTATATGACATTTATATAATATAATTCCAACTTTGTTGGTGACTTTCAACAATGGCACTTAGTTCATCTTAGAAGTATTTGTCAACTCTGCATTTCTAACCTCATTTTTTCTCACAAGCATTTCATCGAACATCTATGCTTCACTTGAGATGACTTGTATCTAACATTACACCTTGAATCATTGATGGTCCTGATAGTCCATTGGTCGGATCTTCTCTCAATAGACCCTTATTCAAGTCAACACCTCCATATAATTCAAAGTTAGATTAGAATTTCACATGCATCTCATACTCAAAAGTTACGCTGGAAATGAGAAGAGAGAAGCGAAAAAGGAAAATTGAGATCGAAAAGGAATTTGGGGTTTAGAATGAAATTAAGGATTGTGTTTCAAGTTTTAAAAGTTGGGGACCTAAATACAAGCGCCTGAAAAGTTCAGTGATCATATTGCAAACGTACTAACGACAGTGTAACGACGTCAAACGACCAGTTACGTCAAGGACCATATTGCAAACAAATTAAATGTTGGAGGATTGTATTATATGTTTTAAAAGTTAGAAAGACCTAAATGAAAGCTTTTAAAAAGTTCAGTGACTATTACTATACTTTACCCTAATAATTATTAGTATTAAGCCATTGTTCTTAATTAAAGTAAGAGCCAAAACGACAGCGGGGTTTTAGAGGAAGGGATCGGACGGCTAGAGATGTAGGATAGGTAGGTAAATATGAAGCGTTTGATTATAGCTTTAAATTTTTATTATTTTCAAAATCATACTTAATATTTAGTTTTATTTCATTTTAGTACCCACCATTAAAGGCTTAATGAGTTTACTATCAATTTTTATTCGTTTTAGTAACTAAATTTTTTTTTTCAAATTTTTAAAATTTTATACTGTAACGTTAAATGAAACAAAAAATAAATTTCAAATATGATTATAAAAATATTAAAAATTTAAATACTAAAATAATAATTTAGATATTAATCACATAGTTTACGTTTGATTATATGATGGAAAAGTGCGTTTTGGGAGTTCGAAATTACCAAGGAGTTCAGGGTAAAAAAAAGTTATTCGGTGGAACCCACGGTGAAAAGTAATATTTTTAGGAAAAATATACGATGAAAAGACGATCTTATCTTATCTTATCTTATCGCTTTTATGTACGAATCGATCTATATCTATTTTCAGACTATACGGAACCAATAAATAGTAATGATAATAGTCATTAATTAATAATTTATTTAGGGAAAAGTAAAAAGGACTGGTCAAAGGGTAAATTAGAAGGTTTAAAATATCAGTAACACTGACACTGGGACTGAGACCGAAACAAGATGGAGTTTTCCATCAACAGTTCTTTGTCTTTTCAACAGTGGAATTTGAATATATTGAGTTTGATTTGATTTTAAAAAATTTAAATTATTAAATGTGATTCAAATTTAATATCAAAAATTGAAATTTGATTTGAATTTAAAATAATTGAATATAAATTATTTTATTTTATTCGATTAATGTTTAAACTCGAATTTAAACTTTAAATATATGTAAATTTAAAATTATATTTTTATTTTATAAAAATATATAATATTATATTAATTTAAATAATATAAGTTTGATGTATTATTTTTTGGAGTTATTTCAAGTTAAATATTAAGTAGTTTATTTCAACTCGTTAAGAAATTAAATCGATCTCGAATTCGAATTATATGTTTATCAAATTTTGATCGAACCAAACTCGAATAACTTAAGATTTATTTTGTCTCATTTACAACATAATGATACATTCATTATTAAAAAATGTAACATATTAACCTAAATAAATTGTATATTAATAGATTAATTATTAATTTGGCTAATTGATATATTCTAAAGAGCTTTAATAAATTAAGATATTAATCAATCAAAAATAAGGATTTGAGTTATGCATTTTATAATATCTTAATAATAATTATGCCAACATCGTTGATATAAGTGGTTGTAATTTAATAATTTGAGTTTATAAGGTCAAGTTTGAATTCTACTATCGTCACTTTTAGTAGATAATTTGTAAATTTCTATGTAAATCCTAATTGAATCTTACGTATATTTTAACCTAAATTTTATTGTACCAAAAAATAATATTTTATTAATTATAAATATTTTATACGTTTATAAATTATATAATATATATTTGGTATATCTATTGTACGCCCATTAACTAAAATATGTTTATGGTTAACTAATTGTAGTAAAATATGACCTGTTAGCCTTTAGGCTTTTCTGGCAATACCAACGTATTTAAGTAATTGTCGTTTTGTAAGGTCATAATGAGAATGCAATTTTTGTTTTTCTTCTAAACGAATACAATAATGATATTTTTTATTGGGACGCGATTAGTTTCTAATATCGCTTCCGGCTCTAGGCCTTTTACTAGTTAGCCCTAGTAAAGCGGCCAGAAGACATATTTTTTGAAACGAGACCCTCGGTAATGTGACATAAAGACTACTTATTAATTTGAATTTAATTGAAATTTTATAAACTGAAATAAAAATTAAACTAAATGAAGTGTACTACAAATATTAATGAGATGAATTAGATCAATATCCATACTTTTGTAACCCCATCAGACTGATGCGGGTGGGCTGATCTGATTTGGGGTGTCACATTAGGATCACTTGAGTGGCCCGATCCGATTTGGGGTGTCACATTAGGGTTACTAGAGTGACCCACCGTAAAAATCTCAGAAAAATTAATTTTTTTGTGAAAACATGTAAAATCATAAAATCAATTTATAAATACAAAAGTAAAATTTACTAGTATTCAAAAATAAAATAGATTATCAGATTCATATATAAAACAAAATACAACCTACATGCCCCCTAATCACATGCACCGTACTCCGCAACCAACGCCAGTGGAACTCCCTTACTGATGTCAATAGTTGCACATGTTTGATTAGTTTAACTTGAAATAATAAGTTAAAAAGTGAGTTTTGGGAAGCTTAGTAATACATAACTACGTATTGATGCTATAGGACATGCATATAAATGTAAAACAATAAAATTTCCTTATTGAATCATACGTATACAGGTTTTTGGGATAAGATGGGGTCTACTGGTAATTCATCGAGTAAAAGCCATGAAGATCTCAATTCATAGAAAACATTCAGAGTACAATGTTTTTAGGAGATTGAAATAGGGTGACTAGTGTGTTCCAACCAAAACCAATGAAAAATATAGATCTTTTTAAAATAGTAACCGTTTAAAACATGTTTTCAAAACCATAATAGAACCCTCCAACCGAACATCGTTATGCAGTTCCCCATAACTGCATCCATAATGGATTACCCTA